AATGTCGAAGATATTGGAAGCTCGAGCCACTGTCGAACGAATTTTGTGACAAGCTGATCTAAGTTTTCGCAAACCCACGTTTTGGAGAGATTAGCAACTGTGAGATCCCAAGAGAGCTTTGAAAGGATGTATTGATTAAACAGTAGAATTTTGTTCCGCGGGTGAATTTTCAAGGAATCGATAACTTTGAGCATCTCACGGAGAGAAGAGGTCAAGTGATCCTTGTGTTCCTGGTTCTTCATATCATAATTGAAGAAACGACCCAGGTATTTGAAAGATTCGCCATGTTTCACAAAAGGGACAGGATCGTTGTTAATGAAGAGTTTAGGCTGAAACTGTGCAGATCTAGTTGCAAACTTTTTAATTCCAAAGGTGATGCACTTGTCTACGCGGATGATCATATTTGCCCATTGGCACCATCTTGTAAAACAGTTTAGCAATAATTGATTTTCGCGTTCATCACTTTTGACAACTGCAGCATCATCAGCGAATTGAAACCAGTGAACCGGGTTAAACAAGCGATCATTGCCGTCATGAGGAGAAAATCCAAGTTGTTTATATTTGTCTTGTTTTACCAGCTGAATAAAGGTGTTGAAACATAAATTGAAAATGAGAGGGCTGAGGCAGTCCCCTTGCAGTACTCCTCTTTTGACTGGAATGGCCGGAGACCTGAAATTATCTGTTATAATTGAAGTATGGAAATCAGTATAAAGATTAGACACGAGATCTTGAAAGTGAGCAGGGATGTGATGATAGTCCATAGCTTTAATGATTAAGTTATGATGGACCTCTCCAAATGCGTTCTTTAAATCCAAAAGAGTGACAACCACAGAGCGTTGCTTTATGCGTGCTTTATTGATAATATGGGCCATCAGTGAAGTATGTTCCAGCACTCCAGAGATGTTAGGAGTGAACCCTTTCTGGATCTCGTGTTCAATGAAATTATTTTGTTTGAGAAAGGAAAACAGAGCATCACGCAGGCAAGAGGTAAATATTTTCAGCGGTACAGACTCGAGGGTAATAGGTCGAAAGTTTGCCGGATCATCAATGCTGCCTTTTTTATAGACTAAAACCGTACAAGCTTTTTTCCATTCGCTAGGAACGTGGCCCGTGGTCCACACAACACGTATTATTTCAGTCAGAAATGACCGGAGGTAAGGGCATCTCTTGAAACAAATAATAGAAATCTTGTCCAAAGGGCATGGAGATCCTGCTGACTTCATTTTGCGAATAACTTTTGTCACTTTTTCATAAGACGGGGGTTGTGTATCAAATGGAACTGAAGGTTGAGAAAGAAAAGGAATCCATGGAGGTATGACAAATTGCCGGTCTGGGAAGACTGCTGAAAACATTTTAACGAAAAATTGTGTACAACGGTTAACAGAGAATGATGGCAGAACGGCAGATTGTTTTTCGATAACATTTTTAACGAAACTCCAGAGGTTCTTCGAGATGAGCTTATCGTAATCTTGGGATGTTGTTGCAGAGCTGCATATGTTACGATCCTGGCTGAGTTTTGATCGAAGAAGGCGGGATACAAATTTAATTTCAGTAGGTGGAGCACTTGACAATTTCAGACGTTTTAATTCTTTCTTGAGTGATTGTTTGGAGCAGTCCTTATATTTGATAAGTAGATCATTATCACGAGTTCCGTTGACGGTTCCGTATGAATGTTTAAAATAATTGTAAATTGAATCGTTCATGAATTTAATCGTGGAATCAAGAGAGACTTTCTCAATTTTAGTGTTAATAAAGATAGATTTAAAATAATTGTTAGCAGTATTCCATTGATCATCAGTCTTAGGCAGACGTACACCAGGTTTGATTTCATAATCACAAAGTGTATCCGTTGTCACTTCCGTATGGCTGATCAGTGATTGGTTGGCGCCAATATTTGAATTTTCAAAATCCAACGGTTGATCCTCTAGGCCTTCAATTACTCTGCATCGTCTTTGGTGCATTTTCAGTCCTTTAGCACCCGAACATTCTTTCCCACAGACACATTTAACTATAACCGACGTCTGGAGGGCATTTTTGTCAGACTCTGATGTGATATTAATCGTGTTGTTTGGTCCAGCACTCTCGGGCAATCTTTTTCTGCAGCGCCATGTGTGGCGGCCTAGCACCTGAAAATCCTTTCCGCAGTACGAACAAACCACCGAAATTATTAGAAGCCATAGTAAGCGAGGTCGCAGCATAACGATTCTGGCTCGGTTGAATACAATATACTAATTCGTATCTTTAAATAAGCGTTGTAGACATCCAGGCTGTTTGAAAAATCGAAGAAACGAGATCGTGTACAATGTGCGTGTGAACGCCACTGCTCAACGATAATCATAATAATAATAATAATAATAATAATAATAATAATAATAATAATAATAATAATAATAATAATAATAATAATAATAATAATAATAATAATAATAATAATAATAATAATAATGAGGGAAAGTAGTCGAGTCTAATGGCATTGACTTACCAAATAAGGAAATCATTAGGTCTATACACGAGGAAAATGGTTATAAATACCTTGGAGTTATGGAAGCTGATCAAGTATTAGGTGAAAAGATGAAAGAAAGTCTAAAGAAAGAATATAAGAGAAGAGTGAAAAAGATACTGAAATCTAAGCTTAATGGAGGCAATATGATAACTGCCATAAACACTTGGGCTGTTTCAATGATGAGATACACGGCACCTTTCGTTGACTGGAGAAAGGATGAGCTGAAAGAAATAGATCGGGGTACTCGTAAAATGATGAATATGTACAGATCACTGCATCCAAGAGATAGTGTAGCAAGACTCTACCTACCCCGTAAAGAAGGAGGACGAGGACTTGTAGAAATTGAGGATTGTGTTCAGCTCGCAATTTTGGGGCTTGAAAACTATGTTCAGGATAGCAAAGAGAGGATATTGTCATCAGTGAGATGCGAGGCAGGAGAAAGAGTGTCAGAGAAAGATTTCAAGAAGCGAAGAAGAGAAGAGAGGCGATCAGAGCTAGAAGAAAAGGCGTTGCATGGACAGTTTTTCAGGCAGACAAAAGAAATAAATGACCCAGAGTCATGGGGATGGTTCCGGGACGGGGAATTGAAAAAGGAGACTGAAGGACTGATAATGGCGGCGCAGACCCAGTCATTGCGAACAAATGCAATTAAAGCAAACATCGATAAGACGCAGAGGGACTCGAAATGTAGAATGTGTAATCAGAAAGAGGAAACAGTAAGCCACATTGTCAGTGAATGCCCAAAACTGGCACAGAGAGAGTATAAACGTAGACATGACTTGTAATGTTTTATGATTATAATTATTATCACATATGTAAAACCCAGGCCCCCCGGAATCTAAGTTAGAGTTGATACACGAGGCAGACAACAAAATGGTGTACTATCTGCGTTCACTCTTCAATATCCGACAATGGCGACGAGGATAAACTAGGAAAGAAAAAAAATGGCAGGAGCTGGTTCAATATAACCTGTGCCTCCGTTTGATGCAGTGTCAGACCCTGCCAACGCGTGTAACGCATGGAAACGTTGGGTTTCAAGATTCGAGCAGTACTTGGTCGCTGCTGATATCAAAGATGATAAGAGAAAAAGAGCCCTGTTGATTTATTTGGCTGGAGAACCAGTTGCAGATATCCTGAATACAATCCCAGATAATGGAGATGATTACAAAACAGCGTTAGAAAAGCTCACGGGACATTTTGAGCCACAGAAGAACTTGCTTCATGAAACATATTTATTTCGCCAGGCCAGACAAGAGCCAAATGAGACTTTAGGTCAATTCCATGTTCGATTACAGAACTTAGCATCACGTTGTGACTTTGGGGATAGAAAAGAGTTCGAAATATTGTTACAAATTGTCACAAATGGATCATCAAGTCGTTTACGAAAGAAAGCTTTACGAGATCCAAAATACACATTGAAAGAAATGTTATTAGATGGCCAAAGAGATGAAACAAGTACACAGCAAGCAAGTAGCATTGAAGGTAACACTGAAATAAAGCAAGAAGTGCATCGTGTAATACAAAGTCAGCACAAGAAAGGACATATACAAACAAAGAAATGTCATCAGTGTGGAGGATCTTACCCTCATAAAAACCAGACCTGTCCAGCTGCTGGTAAGATATGTCATAAATGTGGGAAAAAGAACCACTTTGCAAAGTATTGTTTGAGCAAAACTCAACAAGTGCCAAGGAAAACACAGCCTTTCAAAAGACATGTTAGGCCAATTACAACAAAATCAGTGAATAAAGCACAAAGTGATTCTGATTCAGATTTTGATTACCTTTATGCTGTGAAACAGAAGAAAAAACCTGGTAACGCTGTTACTGCCAAAATCAGTGATTACAAATGTGATTTACTTGTGGACACAGGAGCCTCAGTAAATATTCTTGATGAAGAAACATTTAGTCAGATACCATCAGATCCTAAATTAGAGAAAACAACAGTTAAAGTGTACCCATACAACAGCAACAGCCCTGTGAAATTGTTAGGAAAATTCCAAGCCACTGTGGAGACCAAAAAGCGCATTACTGTAGCCACATTTTATGTCACAGAAGGGAACTCTGGTTCACTATTAGGTTCAGAGACATCCCAAGAACTTGGTCTTGTTACATTTCATATCAATCCAATGGTTTCAAAAGTGAAAGATAAAAATGTGAAACCACAAATTGCTTCCACCTGCTCATGGATTCCTATCAGATCTACCCATGATAAATCAGTTGATGCTGCTTTACTTGCAAATAAAGAAATTTTTAGAGGAATAGGAAAGTTAGATGGAGTTCAAATTAAATTAAACATTGATGAAAATGTAACTCCAGTTGTTCAAAATACCAGACGCATACCATTCCACATCAGAAAGCAAGTAGAAGAAGAATTGTTAAGTCTGGAAGCACAAGGAATAATAGAGAGAGTGCCAGAGGGGCAAGCAACCCCTTGGATATCCCAGATAGTTGCAGTACCAAAGAAGGACAATAAGTCAATTCGGATTTGTGTTGATATGCGTTCAGCAAACACAGCCATAAAAAGAGTTAGGCATGTCATGCCCACAGTTGACGAAATTATGGTACAATTAAATGGAGCCAAATTCTTTTCAAAGATTGACCTTAGTCAAGCTTACCATCAATTAGAATTGCACAAAGATAGCAGATATATCACTACATTCAGCACGCACATTGGTTTATTCCAATACAAAAGATTGAACTATGGCACGAATGCAGCTGCTGAGTTATTTCAACATACATTACAAGAAGCTTTAAAGGGTATAGATAATGTCAGAAACTTAGCAGATGATATTATCATCTTTGGCAAAACCAGAGCAGAGCATGATAAAGCATTGAATGAATGTCTTGCAAGATTAAAGGCAAGAAAGCTCACAGTAAACAGAGAAAAATGTAAATTTTTACAACCAGAACTTTCATTCTTTGGTATGGTATTTTCAGAAGATGGTGTCAAGCCAGATCAAAAGAAGATTGCAGATTTAGTAGATGCTCCTATACCAAACAATGCATCAGAAGTGAGAAGTTTATTAGGAATGGCAAATTTCAGTGCAAAGTTCATACCAAATTTTGCAGATATAACAGAACCACTGAGAAGATTAACTCACAAAAACATTGTATTCAAATGGGAGAAGGAACACTCACAAGCATTTAAGAAACTCAAAGATGTTCTGACAGACAGTCCAGTTATGACATATTTTGATATTGACAAAGAAACATACCTGATTGTAGATGCCAGTCCCATTGGTATTTCTGCAATTCTTACACAATCAAACAAAGATGAGCCTCAAAAAGTGATTGCATATGCCAGTAGAGCACTTACCCCTGTGGAGCGTCGATACTCACAAACTGAGAAAGAAGCACTTAGTATTGTGTGGGGTACTGAGCATTTTCATATGTATCTTTATGGAAAAAGTTTCAACCTGATAACAGATCACAAGCCTTTGGAGGTGATTTATGGGAACCCTAAATCAAAACCATCATTACGCATTGAAAGATGGGTGCTCCGCTTACAGCAATATTGTTTCAAAGTTATTTACAAGCCTGGAAAAGATAATCCGGCTGACTTCATGTCAAGACATCCTACAACAGTCAGTGTCAAAGAAAACATGGCAGATGAGTATGTGAGATATATAACAATAAATGCGATACCAAAAGCCATGACCATAGAAGAAGTACAAAGAGAGACAGAAAGGGATGGGACACTCCAAGCAGTCATAAAAGCAATTAAAACAGGAGATTGGAGTAACCAGTTTTTAGTACCTTACAAGTTAGCCAAAGATTCATTGACAATAAATCATGCAAATGGAATTATTTTGCGGGGAAACCAAATTGTCATGCCTAAATCACTATGGAAAAGATCAGTAAAACTAGCTCACGAGGGTCACCAGGGCCTTGCTAAGACTAAAGCCCTGATCAGAGAAAAAGTTTGGTTTCCATTTATTGAAAAATTGGTAACAGAAGAGATTAATAGCTGTTTACCTTGTCAAGCAGTGGGAACACAAAAAGCACCAGAACCATTGCGAATGAGACCTATGCCATCTGGACCTTGGAAAAAACTGCATATTGACTTTTATGGACCACTTCCAAGTAGTGAGTATGTACTTGTTATTGTAGATGCTTATTCTAGATTCCCCATAACAGAAATTGTAAAATCTACTGCTGCTTCAACCATTATTCCAAAATTAGATCAAGTTTTTGCAATGCATGGACTTCCTGAAGAAATAGTAACAGACAATGGTCCACCATTTAATGGTGATGATTTTAAAAGATACTTGATGACTCTAGGAATAAAGTTTGACCCTTCTACACCATTATGGCCCCAAGGGAACTCAGAGGTAGAGAGATTTAACCAACCTCTAGGAAAAGCAATTAGAGCTGCATGTATAGAAAATAGAAATTGGAGACAAGAACTTCAAAGATTTTTATTGAGTTATAGATCCACCCCACATGCAACCACAAAGATTGCACCTTCAGAACTGTTATACAATAGGGTCATTAGAGGGAAACTACCTTGTTCAATCAAGACAAGTAAATCTAAAAGACACAGAGAAGCTCAGGAAAATGATGCAGTAGGGAAAGAGAAGATGAAAAGCTATGCAGACAAAAGAAGACACACAAAGATTTCTGATATCAAAGTTGGTGATACCGTTTTGTTAAAACAAGATAAAAAGAACAAGTTTTCTGCAAACTTTGAAAGCACTACTTACAAAGTTATATATCGTAAAGGTTCCAGAGTAACAGCAGAAAGACAAGATGGAAGGAAAGTCACTAGAAAATTAGCTTTTTCAAAAAGTTTAGTAAGAAAGATGATGATGATGATGATTTGTCTGATGATGACAATCACAAAAGAACAGAAACAGTCGAAGAGAATAACAGAGAAAACAGATATCCTCTTAGACAAAGGCGAATGCCTGAAAGATATGGAACAGTTGTAGCAACAGACTAGGAGGAGAATTTATTTTATTTCTTTATTTTTATTTTTAAATACTATGCAAAGAGAACAGGACTCAAAGAACAAACACGTTATGTTATGTTTATGTTGTCAAAAAAAGGGGGAATGATGTAATGTTTTATGATTATAATTATTATCACATATGTAAGACCCAGGCCCCCCGGAATCTAAGTTAGAGTTGATACACGAGGCAGACAACAAAATGGTGTACTATCTGCGTTCACTCTTCAATATCCGACATGACTGTGTAGCGAAAGCCCTCCATTGGGATGTCTGTCGCCTGTATGACATAGATTGTGGAAATAAATGGTACGAACATCAACCAGATGGAGTGGTAGAAACAACAAATGTAAAGATTCTCTGGGATGTCAATATTCAAACAGACAATGAAATCCAGGCAAAGAGACCTGACATAGTGGTTGTCAATAAGAAAGAAAGGAAGTGTTACATCATTGATGTTGCAGTCCCGGGAGATGTGAGAATAGCTGAAAAAGAGATAGAGAAAATCGAAAAGTATGACGAATTAAAGAGAGAAGTGGAAAGATTATGGAAAGTGAAAGCAAAAGTTATTCCTATTGTCTTGGGAGCCCTTGGAACAGTCACACGAAATTTGAGCAACTACATCAAGGAAATTGGAGTCAAGACGCAGATAAAACTAATACAAAAATCTGTACTTTTAGGAACTGCAAGAGTGTTGAGAAAAGTTCTCGAGATCTAAGATCATGGGTATTGATCCGATTTCAAGAAACATCAAGAACAAGCCAGTTATAACATCAGAACTGTGTACATCAGCATAATAATAATAATAATAATAATTTGTCCTGGGTATGACAAAAAACTACATCCGGTAGTGGAGTTTTGACGTGGGAGAATGAGGTTACCCTTTGCCACTACTACCTCCAGGTCACCCTTGAGCAAGGTATACTACCTGTTAGCTCTCCCCGAGGCCGTGAAATACCGGGTTGGCGTCCGGCGGGGGCTAGTCTGTCTCATGGGTAGGGGGGACTCTTCAGCCCTGGTCGGCGACCCACCTAGTGATGGTGTCACGATAAAAATACTGCTTTGTTGGTGATGCAAAACCACAACCTCATCTTCAAAAGAAAATGATGATTAATTCTGAAAATAACATAGAGAACGACGTCAACGGGAGTGGATCCACAGGTGAAGCTGTCGCGTCCGGCAGGGGTGGTGGTGCTACGCAGGCCAGCCTCGGTCGATATCATGCTACTGCGGAATCAACTGTGGGGAGTAGAACTAGAAATCAGTGGACAAGAGAAGATAACAGAACAGTGATGGAGTGCTATGTCGCGAGCGAGCCAAATAAGAGGGGTTACCGGAAACGTATGGTAAATATCTGGAGAAGTAGAAATCTTGCTCAGGTATCAGAGCAAAGACTGCTAGACCAAGTTAGGCAAATAAGACTGAAGGGTTGGATAACAGAGTTAGAGATGGAGGAGATCAAGAGACAGAAAACAATTGAAGGCAACAGAGGTGACGATGAAAGCCAGGGTGAAAGTGTGGAAAGCGATGCTAACAACAGACGCGAAGAAATACAAATAGAATATGATGATAATGTACAGCAGAATAATGAGACAGGAGCAGCTGAAAATGGTGCTAGAAATTTTGACGATGAGGAATTTTCAGACGAGGAAATAGCGATCGCTGAGAGGCTTTTTGAAGTACTACACCAACCTGAAAGGACAAAGCTACCTGCTCTGAGAGGTCTAAATAAAAGTTCTGTCAAAATAGAAGTTGAAAAGATGAATAGCTTGCTGGGTAAAATAAGAAGCGAAAATATCACCGCGACCAATGATTTGTTATATGCAGCATCAGTTGTTACAACTGAGAGATTAGGTGTAAAGATCACTAGAAAGAAGAGGCAAGGAGAACCTATGTGGAAAAGAAGGTTGCAGAAGCAAGTAAAATACTTGAGGAAAGATTTAAGCCGAGTTGAAGAGTTAAGAAAAGGGAAAACAATTAAGACAAGATTTCAAGAACAGTTACAGAGAAAGTATTGGTTAAAAGAAAAGGGTCTCATAACAGTAAGTGAAGAACTAAAACAAAGGATTACAGCTAAATCAGGAAAAATTACAAGATATCAAGCTAGAATAGATCAATTTAGACAGAATCGACTGTTTCGGGAAAACCAAAGTCGGTTCTATGATGAATTGAATGGCGGAGAGAGAAATGAAGTACGACCTGAAAAGGAAGAAACTATGGAATTTTGGAAGTATATATGGAGCAAACCAACACGGCACAATGAAAACGCAGAATGGCTGCAGGACTTGAAGGAGGAAATTAAAATTGACAGGCAAAATGATGTTGTGATTACCAGGGAAAAGGTAGAAAAGGTTGTTAATAAAATGCCAAATTGGAAATCACCAGGACCTGACTTAGTTCAGGGCTTCTGGTTGAAAAGATTTACTAATCTGCATGGGAGAATTACATTGCAGCTCAACGAGTGCTTGAGGAAAGGAAATGTACCAAAATGGATGACTAAAGGAAGAACAGTTTTGATAGTCAAAGATCCAGAAAAAGGAAGGGTGCCTAGTAATTATCGTTCAATAACGTGTCTCGCTATGTGCTGGAAATTGTTGACAGGAATATTGGCAGGTGAGATTTATTCTTTTATGGAGGCTAAGAATGTATTACCAGAAGAACAAAAGGGATCAAGGAAAGGATGTAGGGGGTGCTTAGACCAATTGTATATTGACAAGAAAATCATGAAGGAAGTGAAGCAAAGAAAGAAGAATATTGCAATGGGCTGGCTGGATTATAGAAAAGCTTATGATCTAATCCCACATTCATGGTTGAAGGAATGTTTGAACATGTTTGGAGCTGCAGAGAATGTAAAAAATTTGCTGACCAACAGTATGAAGGAATGGAGCACCATGTTGACATCTTGTGGGGAAGCGATTGGTGAGGTAAAATTTGCCAGAGGAATTTTCCAAGGAGACAGTTTATCACCATTAATGTTTGTGATTGCTATGATACCACTAACGTTAGTACTGCGTAAAATGAAAGCGTCCTATAAGTTCAGTTCAAATGGAGAGCAGATAAATCATTTAATGTTCATGGATGACATCAAACTTTATGCGAAGAATGAAAGTGGACTAGATGCATTGATACAGTCTGTCAGAGTTGTTAGTAATGATATAGGTATGGAATTTGGAGTAGAAAAATGTGCAGTGTTGGTTATGAAGCGAGGGAAAGTAGTCGAGTCTAATGGCATTGACTTACCAAATAAGGAAACCATTAGGTCTATACACGAGGAAAATGGTTATAAATACCTTGGAGTTATGGAAGCTGATCAAGTATTAGGTGAAAAGATGAAAGAAAGTCTAAAGAAAGAATATAAGAGAAGAGTGAAAAAGATACTGAAATCTAAGCTTAATGGAGGCAATATGATAACTGCCATAAACACTTGGGCTGTTTCAATGATGAGATACACGGCACCTTTCGTTGACTGGAGAAAGGATGAGCTGAAAGAAATAGATCGGGGTACTCGTAAAATGATGAATACGTACAGATCACTGCATCCAAGAGATAGTGTAGCAAGACTCTACCTACCCCGTAAAGAAGGAGGACGAGGACTTGTAGAAATTGAGGATTGTGTTCAGCTCGCAATTTTGGGGCTTGAAAACTATGTTCAGGATAGCAAAGAGAGGATATTGTCATCAGTGAGATGCGAGGCAGGAGAAAGAGTGTCAGAGAAAGATTTCAAGAAGCGAAGAAGAGAAGAGAGGCGATCAGAGCTAGAAGAAAAGGCGTTACATGGACAGTTTTTCAGGCAGACAAAAGAAATAAATGACCCAGAGTCATGGGGATGGCTCCGGGACGGGGAATTGAAAAAGGAGACTGAAGGACTGATAATGGCGGCGCAGACCCAGTCATTGCGAACAAATGCAATTAAAGCAAACATCGATAAGACGCAGAGGGACTCGAAATGTAGAATGTGTAATTAGAAAGAGGAAACAATAAGCCACATTGTCAGTGAATGCCCAAAACTGGCACAGAGAGAGTATAAACGTAGACATGACTGTGTAGCGAAAGCCCTCCATTGGGATGTCTGTCGCCTGTATGACATAGATTGTGGAAATAAATGGTACGAACATCAACCAGATGGAGTGGTAGAAACAACAAATGTAAAGATTCTCTGGGATGTCAATATTCAAACAGACAATGAAATCCAGGCAAGGAGACCTGACATAGTGGTTGTCAATAAGAAAGAAAGGAAGTGTTACATCATTGATGTTGCAGTCCCGGGAGATGTGAGAATAGCTGAAAAAGAGATAGAGAAAATCGAAAAGTATGACGAATTAAAGAGAGAAGTGGAAAGATTATGGAAAGTGAAAGCAAAAGTTATTCCTATTGTCTTGGGAGCCCTTGGAACAGTGACACGAAATTTGAGCAACTACATCAAGGAAATTGGAGTCAAGACGCAGATAAAACTAATACAAAAATCTGTACTTTTAGGAACTGCAAGAGTGTTGAGAAAAGTTCTCGAGATCTAAGATCATGGGTATTGATCCGATTTCAAGAAACATCAAGAACAAGCCAGTTATAACATCAGAACTGTGTACATCAGCATAATAATAATAATAATAATAATAATAATAATAATAATAATAATAATAATAATAATAATAATGGAAACTTTTCATTTAGAATTCCAGTTAAAACTACAATTACAAATCTCACTATTACAAGGTAATTTGTAACTGGCTAGCCTGTTTTTACAAAATAAGACTATTACAATCGTAGTAAAGAGAAAAGAAAAAAAAACGTTAAAAGGGGAGTAGCTCTGGGTTAGTCCATGTTTTGTTCCTACAGCAAAAAATGTAATAGGTGGTACGAATGGATATCGTTGAAAGCTTAGAAATGAGATATCGTTTGTGTTGATCATCGATGGAAAGAGAGTCACACATTTCTAGGAATGAGCTGCATGAGTCGCCGAAGATGCCAAGAGAGCTGATGGAGAGATTTACAAATATGATAGATTTGAACCTTGGTCTTAGATCTGAGACAAGGCGAGCATATTTTGAACGTTTCCTTTCTGCATTGCAGTTAAGGTTAGTTTCAAATCCTATCGTTAGTTCCAAAACATAAAGAATGTTTTCCTTTGTACGCAGAAGTAGATCTGGGCGCAGATTGTCTCCAGTTATGATGGATGGTGAGGAGAAGCCAGGTATATCGGCAAAAAGAGAGGATCCCTCTATTGCTTTCAAGGAGGTTGCAAGAAAATTTAGAGCA